ATGCTAGGAGTACACTGAAAGGAAAGATGATTGTTAACCTCACAGCTCATTTGTTTCCCACACAATCAAGTTGCCAGACTTGTTCTTTTACAGGCTCTGAAACCAAACCTGCACCTAAATCTATCAGTGCTTTTTGCTTTGGCAAAGAAAACTAAAATCATACATGTAATTAAGTGTGTAACAAGCCATCTCTGGTCTGCAATCAAGTACACCTAAAGGAAGAAAAGAGTAACTGAGCCAGACTGAGAGAAGGAATGTCTGTCCATTGTCCATTCACCAGTTTCAGGGAAAAGACTTGTCAGCTGTACATTTCTGTCAGCAGTTCAAGGTTCAATCACCCCCTATCTGACCATGAGTTGGTGGCTGCTGCCATGGAAAACAGGAGATGAATGCTGCATGCTCAGAGATAAAAAGAAGCCTGAAGTTCTCTGTTCTAGCTGAGGACCACACTGCCAGACATGCCTAGATGCTGACCAGGGATAGGGGTTAAAGGAGAGAGTGGGAAGTTGGCTAAATCAAAACACCTCAGAAAAGTAAAAGCAGAACAATACAAGAAAAAAGATCTTACAGGACAGAAACTATGAGGTTAAAAAGAACCAATACCTTATTCTGGAAGGTGAAATACAAAGATAAATATGACAAACTGCACTACCATCATAACCAAAAGCAATAAAGACCTTCTGAAGGTTAAAAAAAAAAATTATTAAGTGCTTTAACAGAAGATCTGAACAAAATTTAAACTAACTGGACATGGAGGAAGACAAGCTAATGCCATGCTGATAAACCCACTTGACTAGAAACATCTTTATGACTCCACCACCTTTCTGGAATAAGTGCCCTAAGAATGGGCACATGCAGCACGTCTGGAGTGTCAGGTGTACACTGTGGATCAAGGCCAACGTTTGAAGATGAGCCCATTCTCAGCATGGACTCTTCTATCAGTTAAACAAAGAGCTTTTTTTCCTTTGAGTTTCAGGCAGGATCAACACCAACCCAGAGAGAAAAGGGGAATGTGCAAAGCTGCTGATACTGAGGTAAAAAAAGCAGTTCCTTTTACCTCACCCTGTTCCTCTGTAAAACACTACAGAATGGTAGAGTAGCTCAAGTGATACACTCAACCCACATAAGCTCTCAGTTTGACTAAGAAGCCACCTCTAACAGGCTCTCCATGAACCTCTGAACTGTGAAAGAAAATTCCTGCATCACTGGAATCAGTTTTGCAAAATATATCCATACCTCTTTGGGAGTTTTATGAGCTGCACAAAGAAAAATCCACTGTTCAGTTGCTGTCATCTGAGTACATGTGTCAGGGTGACATTCACTCTGTTAAAGCAACAGTTCAATTAAGAAAAAACCCCAGCAGCAAAAAGCTGATGATCTTTTCAAATAACTTCCTTGCCCTGTCCACCCCCCAAAATGGTTATTTCCCATATGCTCTTAAAATCTTACAAAACCTCCAACCACTGCTTAGCCCTGTGTGTATATATTTAGAAGAAAGCCCTGCAATCTACACAAAAAGTGTCCTCCCTGACAAACTGCAAGTCTCAAGAAAACAATTACCTGAAGCTTGACAGCTAGTCCATTGAGCTCAAGGCAGAATTGTCTAAAAGAAATTGAACACAGCACCATCAAAATCAGCTATTTGTTCCTCACTGCAAATATCTCATAGAAAACAGCTTAGACATTCTGATCTGTATACCAGCAGATTTTTTTTTTCACTCAGCTAAATGATTTTAATTTTTCACTGACAGCAAAGGCTGAGTTTAACAGATAATATAGTGGAAATATTGTACTGCAACATAAAAAAAAAGGAAAAAAAAAAAAAGAAGTGGACAAAAAGGTTTGTCTCCTTACAAGCAGAAAAAGAACTCAAAGATACAGGGACTTGCTGTCCCTGCCTATTTGCCTCATTTGCCTGCTAGTTTCAGAAAAAGCATTGGGAGCAACTGGAAATTTCATTACCTCTTAGTGGAGATGAAGAACTGACAATATCTTTGAGAAAGTGCTATGGAAATTCATGACTATATCTTCCTATTCAAGAAGTGAGGTAAAAATAGTTTATTTAAAAAAAAAAAAAATTACGATCAGAGCACATTATAAATCTTTAGAAATAACAGGGAAATCAGAAAAGAATACCAACATATAACCGTAGAAAAATCAAGTTTAAATTAAGTTAGCTTTGATATGTCACATTCAAATAGACTCACTACCAGCATCAATGAACAAAATTTAGAACCAAGACAGAATGTTAACAAAAGATGGATTTTTACCTTAAATGTTCATACTTCCATACACCTTCATCCTGGCCTTCGGGAGGTTCAAGGATCTTATCAATGTTGGAACAGTCTGCCCTTATGTTTTGTTGAATATACTGGGGGGGGGAATAGAAATAAAACTAGATCTTGTAATTACAGTAAGAAAGTGTATTTAGGACATTACATCTTGGAGAGGTTTAGTTTTTACCTAAATGATTGACAGACTAAAAAGTTCAAAAGTAGATGGGCAGAGTAAGGAAACTGGTATTAAAAATGTCAGATCTGAAAAATACTTCGATTAAATTAAAAAAGGTAAACGAATGGAGAAACCCCCACCATTTTCCTAAATCTGATTTGTTTAAACCAGACATGGGAATTTAAATTATTTATGCAAACAAAACTAACCATTAATTTGTTAATATACACAGGTACTTAGGAAATTCACTGCTGTGCAGCAACACCCTAAGCAGATAAATATCAAACCCTGTTTAATTTTATGTACCAGAACGCAAAACCTGTGAAACTGCACTCATTAACAACATTTCATGTAAGTAGGAATACCTGCTGGACAGCTAATGTACTATCCATTTCTTCAAAGGATTCATCAGGCCAGTTGTAGAAATCCTGTTTTGAAAAAAGAAAATTTAAAGCAATGTAACAAAACCACAGGGAGAGGAAGAAAGGCATACAGCCTACAATAAGCCTGAGCATGAAGGAAAATAGATGGAGTTTATACAATTCCAGGAAGCTGCATCTGAACAGAAGCAGCACACAGTCCTGGCAGGAAGAGGGAGAGATGGGATTTATGCTCCCAGCACTGCAACAGCAGCATACCTTGGAAGGAAAAGCTGTGCATGACTCGGCAGGTGAGCACCCAGAGCCTGCATTTGTTACATTAAATACAGCTCACAGCACCCACTGCAGGTGTTAGACCAGGGGAATGGGGAAGAAGAGGTCTGCAGAGAGCAGCAGCATACTCTGGTTATGAAACTAAAACTCCCAGTGGTGACACAGCAAGAAAAACATCTCTGAACTGAGATCACGGAACGCTGTGCTGGCCTAACCTGGTACCACATTCCCACCTTAGCCCTGGTAAGGTCAGTATGCCTTAATTAATTTACCTGGATGCTTATCAGCCCTGTTAATGATAAAGCCTTGCAGAAGTTTCGACTCAGATCCAGCTGCACCTGTGTTCTGCAGCAGTCCACATGTGCTGCACCCACGATCATCCCAACCATAGGCATTTTCTTACTGTGCATTTTTCACATCTAAAATTTGGTGCTACTCCCTCATATCATGTAGAGATGCTGCATGTCGGCTTGCTGTAGTCATCCCAGTAACTGCAATGACTCAGTGAAAATGTCCCAAGAGCAAAGCTTAGCAATCTGTTCCTGAGAGAGTAAGTCAGCTCTGGAAAAAATACCTCGAGTACTTGAAAAAATACCTCAAGCATATCCACTGTTGAAATATCATTACCTAATTGTATTTGCAAACTGAATAGCTATACCAGTGTCATCCAAAATAAAACATTAAATACAAACACATACAAAGAAAAGTCATGTCTATGTAGAGAGAAATTATCATCACTGTACACAAAACTCTTCAATCTATATCAACTTCCTAGTACTTGACCAAACCTAGGTCTGCCCAGCTCTTTTACAGAATACCCCAAATTTATCAAAGGCACACAACATTCTGTCCTTCACAGATTAAACATGCATCGAATGACATGATTTACAGGATTGTGTAATAATTTTACCTCTGTGCTATGACAAAGAACAGGAGAAGACATGTGTCTTACACTGCTCCTTTCCCACAAAGAGTTCTCCTCCCAAAAGCAGAGGGGAAAGTCTCACATAAAGGTCTGACAGATCACCTCTCTGAAATAATCTAAAAAATGCAGTTTCCGTGTTTGAGGTGTGCCTTTTCCAGCTGACCGTGAAACCTCAGAAACTAATTCAAGTTTGATTAAGAGAAGCGATGTGACACCAGAATTTTCGTGAGCGCAGTTACGTAAGGGAAGGATGACTTCCCCGTGGGATGGGCAGGCAGGTACGGTCGCTCTGACGGTGCCGAGCCGCCGCTCGCAGCCCAGTGCAGGGTCATGGGCTGGGAGCGTGCTCTCGGTGTTTTCCCAGCACTAACAACAGCGGTGCCTGACAGCGCCGGGGAGCCGCCCTGCCTGCCCCAGCCCGCGGCAGCGCTCCCGCCCGGCTGTCCCGGGCGCTCCCGGCCCGGCCGAGCCCCGCCGTCTCCTCCGGCCGCCGGGCCCGCCGCGACCTCCGCTCCGGACCGCAGCCCGGCAGCCCCGGCAGCGCCCGGGCTCCCCGCGCCGCGGGGCCGCAGCCGCAGCGCCCGTCCCGCCGAGCCCGCGGGGAGCAGCCGCCGCCGTCCCCGGCCCGCTCCCCGCAACCACCAAACAAAGCCATCCCCGCAGCGGGGCCGCCCAGCCCCAGCCCCAGCCCTGCTAGGCCCGGCGCGGCCCTCGGCGCCAGCCCGCCGGCCGCTGGGCCCCGGCGGCGGCGCTGCCCGTGCCCACCCGGCCGGCGCGGGGGCAGCGGCGGTGGCTCACCTGGGCCTTGGTGCCCGGGCGGTTCCGCCGGAGCACGGCCGTGCCCTCCGCCATGACCATAGCGACCGCGGGGCCCGGATGTGCCGCGGGGCCGCGCGGGGCGGGGCAGGAGCGGGCCCGCGGAGGGAGGGGCGGGGCGGCCAGAACAGCTTCTCGCGAGAGATGGCGGGAGGCGGTGCGCGGGGCGGCCGTGAGGGGAGGAGGCGCCGCGGCCCCCCTGCCCCGTCCCCTTCCCTTCCCGCCCGGCTCCGCTTCTCTTCTCGCTGGAAGCCACGGGCGCTTCCTTGTGAGCGCGGTGCCGTGCGGGCACCTGTGCGTCCCTCTGTCAGAGCAGAGCTTGGTATTGCTGAGGGCAGCACTGACATCCCCACACATCCCCACACACAGAGCCGGGAGCTCGGTGCTGAGCAGCGAGTCACCCGCTTTGTGACGGCCTGAGTGGCTGCTGAGGAAATCCATCGTATTTCATCCTGTTTCATCAGCATCCCCCCGCCAGCCCCTGCTCTGTGTGCACTCGCACAAGGTTAGTCCTTGCTCGTGTCTGTACAACCGGGTCCCTGATGCTCTGTGCAATACAAACTATAAGGGTGTGGATTTTAAAAAATACTCAGAGTTTTATATTCAATATTTATTCTAAAAATAATGAGTAAAATCCCATCCTAGTAAGGGTTGTTTGGAGCAAAATAATTTTAAAGTAGATAGGAAGCCTTTCTAGGTCTCCAAAGGCAGGATTGAGACACCTGTGATCTTGGTGTGCAGAGGGCAGGAACTGCTGTGCTAAAGGCAAACAGAGTTAGCTCAGGTTTCCAGGTTTACTGAGTGGAGTGTTGACTCTATTTGCGAAGAAAACAAAAAGACACGGTTACCTCATAGCTGGCCGATAAATACATCTCCCTTACAAGCAAGTAAACGTTTTGGAAGACCAGAGTGACTCATACTATTTCTGTAGGGTAAGTGAGAAGAAAATTGTTTGCAAGCTGTTCTATTTCTCTAAAATACACGCTAGAAATGAGTACAGAATTAGGAGGGGTGAATTGCTTCTGTCTGTGTGCAAGGACGATGAGGTACTATGAGACACCTCCCTCACACAATCAAGGAATAAATGGTTGCAGTTGTGGGGTGTTTCCTGCAAAGAGGAGAAGGCTGCTCACTGCCTGGTGCTGTCCCTACTCCCACCGCTTTTCAGGATGAATGCTAGTTGTAGTTCACTCCTTCATTCAATTATTTTGCTGTAAATCACACATTAAAGCCCCTTCCTCCTACCCAGTGAGAGTTACAGTTTGTGAAACATTTCTAGAACGAAACCACTGAAAAATCTCTAATTAGGCTTTCCCACCAGAAAGAGAAGTGCACTTTGAATCCCGAGTGCGGCTGGAGCCGAGAGCCGGGCAATGTGCGGGGGAGCACAAGTGGGTGACGGGGTCAGCGCCCGCCCCGGCTCGCCCAGCTCCTCTCACGTTACTCTGTAACGCGGAGCTTGGCATTCCTGCCTTCAGGCGCCTGAGTTCGCTTTGCTGTAGTTACTTTTTTACTCCTGGCCTGCATTCCTGCTCCAGGGATGTCAGCTCTTCGGGTCGTGTGGCGAAACCCAGCTTGTGTAAGAAACCATCAGAAGGTTTAAAATGCTGTGAGAAATTGGTGTCTTGGAATGAGGAGTAGAAATGTCCTATTACCTCTTTGGACCAGCTGTATTCCAACCTTTTTTTTTTTTATGACATTGATATTATTATTGGCCAGTTTTGAAACACAAGCAGTTCTAGCTGCTTGAGTCCTTCAAAATTCAGCAGTTTGTTTGTGGTATTTGTACTTTGTTTTGGTTTTTTAAAATTTTTTTTTCCTATCACCATATTCAAGGTTTAACCTTAAAGCACAGAAAAGTTGGGGGCTTGACATTTCCATTTGTCCCTGACTTTCATTTCATGGCCATCTTGCTTTTAACATGGAAACAAAACTGACTGTGAAGAAATACCTCTCAGAGAAAAATATGTCTCTGTTAGTTCAGCCTGAAGATGGTTCATGTGTCTGCAGAAAAAAGGAAAGAAAATTGTTAATATTAAGATCTTGAATGCTGTAGGGTATTTTGTGTTGTCCCTTGATAATTAACTCTGTATTCCTGAAAGACGCTTATTCTTTTTATTTCATTTAATTTCGAGCTGGTTTTGAAGAAAATCTGAACAAGAGCATTTGCAATTTTTGGGTTTCAGCTCTGTCCTTGTTCAGGGCAAATTTGGAAGAGAATCTCTAAAGGGATTCTCTAGGAAGCAGATTCAATCGCGCTCCCCCCCCCACCCCCCCAGCCAGTTTGGGAAAAAATACTTCCTTGGAGGAAAAAGTGGAAAAAACCTGTTTATTAAACAAGCAAATCTAAACAATATTAAACAATAAAACTTCTTGCTACTCCAGAGAGAGAGACAAACTCAGAAAAATCCCCCGGGCTGCAGCTGGGCTCACTCAATCTTTGATCAGTCCCCCCCGATGCTGGAAATGCCACGGCCCAGGCCCAGCCCGCTGGGCCACTGGTGCGAGCTGCTGCTGCACTTCTGGTGTTCAGTCCAGAGCAGGTTTGAGCAGGTCCAAAGAAAGGAAAAAAAACCCCACAGTCCAGAGAACCTCTTTGCCTCAGCTAGCTACAACTAACTAGAAAAGCAAAGGAGAGCTCTGTCTCGCTGTCCATCCGCAGACAACACAGTCCAGGAGCAGGAATGTGGAGGAGGGAGTGCAGTTCTTGAAAATGATCTCTGCACTTCTTCCCCCCTCCTTCACTCTTGGAACAAGCCTTAAAGGTGCAAAACTTATTATTCAACATAAACAGGGCAGACAGTTGGGGATAAAGGCGTCATACAATCAACCTAGGACAAGCTGGTCCTCACCTTATGGCCTTCAATAATGAGAATTTGAATATTTGGCCAAAATTTTATCAACCATTCACGTGCTGTTAGGGACCTGTCTGCCCTTTCTTCCCTATTGGCATATAAATGTTCCATCCTTTTCTTACTGCGGCAGGATAACATAACCAGGGTGAGAAAAGCTTTCTGAAAACACTGCAGCTGCAGAGAATGGAAGCTGTTCTGAAGTGTTAGAAAAGAAAGTCACAAAAGATGGAGTCCACATGGTCCCCTTGTGGTTCAGACTGACTGAAGAAAGACTGAAGACTTTATCCCCTCAGAAAAGCAGCTGGGGCAACATGCAGCATTTACACCAAAAGTGAAATTTTTAAACCATGTAGAAAACAGTGGAAAGAAGCCAAATTTCCTATCAGAAGAACACAGTAAAGAAAGAGGGTTTGTGATTGTCTGTCCTTGCCTGAAGAACCTGGGGGATATAGGATTTGGCACGCAGTCATGGCCTGAGAGGCAGTAACAGCAGATGGATCACCTTGGCTGTGCGGCAGTTGCCTTGTCCTTGCTTGCAGTGAGACCTTGTGGTGCAAGGATAGAATGTTCCTGTCAATCCAGCAGATGTTCCAGCATGTCCTCCATATAAAATAGGCCTAGGAATGCTATTTCCTCCACACCCATAAATTACTTATTCCCATGGAGTGTGACTTCTGTTTTTAATCACTTACTTAAACTAGATACAGCCGTGCTAAGTTTAATAAATAGGCATTTTATATTTTATTTATATAATAGGCATTTTATATTTTAATAAATAGGCATTGTATCGAGCTGCTGAAAACCTGCTGGGCTGAAAGCATGGGCTGAAGGTGGAGCTGGGGGCAGCCAGGTTGGGTGGTGAGGGCTCAGAGTGATCCTATGCAGTTCATGTCTTTTAGAGACTTTATGGAAAGAAATGGAGAAATTTTAGGCCTAAACATTTCTCTTTTGGCAGTTAATTCCTACTGCATCTTGAGATGGAGTAGTGTCTCTAAGCCGTTTGTAAATATTTAAAATACCTTCTCCTCTTTGCTATGTGACTGCAGCAGACTGTCCCTTATCCTGGGAGATAAAGGCATGCTGGCTGCAGTGGAAGATAATGCTTCCCAGGGAGTTTGTGTGTCATTGCACAATCAATGGTCTTGCAAGGTCCTTGGGGTGTGATTATCTTAAGTTTCAGCTCGAAGGTGCAGTGGTGTAACTACTAAAGTAAAACTGCAATAGGGCAAATTTTAAGATGTAGGTATTTTATACTAAAAAGTGTATTTTTATTAATTTAGCATCTTCCCTATCTGTCCCATAGTCCAGTGCAAATTTAATCCCTGGAGCAGTGCCTGGTTTGTCTTCAGCTCCAGAGCAAGCAGAGGTAACCAGCCAAGAGCAAGCACCCCACAGCAAAGGGGAACAAAAGACATTGCAGCCAAGCCTGGCAAATGCAGCTCCTGCTGGAATGGCTGGGTGGTCAACAGCATCTAGGGAAACACATGGCTCCAGCTGACCTCTCTGCTGTGCAGCTGATGGGAGGGACTTTGTGCTGGTGGAAAATACATTGTGTTTCAAACTGCCAGCGCTGGAGTCCCCTGCAGGATCTGAATGGAGTCCTGACAAATATTTTGTTAGAGTTATTTACTGTTACCTCTGGAATAAGCATTATAATGTATCTAGCAGTGCCGAGTTCTTATCAGCAGGACTAGAATAGGAAAGAAGTGCAGTTTAATTCCAGCCAATGAAATTTCAGCAGCAGTAAGTCAGGGACTGACTGACTTCACTAAAGACTACCCCAAAAGCAATCTAAGGCACTGTCTGTTCTTAGGCTGCACTAGATCCCTCTGTGCACCTCAGTTTTGAAAGCCTCCACAGGAACAGTGCAGATTTGGGTGCTCCTCATGTACAACCCTGAATCCTTGTCAAGGCAAGAGAAGGTGGCTAGGAATATGCAAATTTAATTCAGCATTAATTCAGCTTCAGCATTACCTAAGTCAGTGTCTTGCTATTTAAGAATGGTGTGTTAAGGGTAAAGGAAATATAATTTGTCAAAGGGAAAACTCAAGATCTGGGTGTGATAGTGTGCTAATCAGTAAAGAAATTTAATTTAAGATCAGCATCAGCCCCACTTCTGCCTGATTAACTGCTGGGGAAAGTTTTTTTTTTATTTTCTATTGGCAAAGTTTAGTGAGTGATAAGCGAGAATAACCATTAATTCTTACCTGCTTCATCTGGGAACTGCATGATTCTGTTACAGCACAGACATGACTAATAGCAAGCTCCTTCCAACTGCTGGGGGACAGGCTGTTTGTGTGCCTTAACTTTTCAGTGTTTCAGGGTCTTCAGACAGGACTTAGAAGAACCCATGCTATCTCACATTGGAGTCCAATGTGCAAGGGAGCTGGCTACAAGTCCTCAGCAAGATTGCATCTGTCTGGTAACCCTTTTAAGCTCATTTCATACAAACTTGGTGAAAATAACATACTACTACCATTGAATGTTACAGAGAGCTCATTACAATTGAGACTCAGTTTCACTGAGCAGCAGCAGAAACTGAGACAGAAGCAGAACAGTTTTATAAGTTTATTGTAAAGACCTTTACAATCTCAGTACAGAGATAAGGATATAAAATGATGCTGCTTAGAATTAAGGCTGGTTGGTGGTCATCCAAATTTCACTGTTCAATGGAACTCAAGCAAGAGCAACTGGTTTCTGACTGTACATATTTTTATTTGTGTTCCATCATTACAGTGAGATCACAAGTTATTTCAAAGACTCAATGCCTGTTTATTATAAAATAAAGGACATTATTTACATGATGAAAGAAAAATTTCAGCATTTTAGTGGAATGGATGACTGATACTGCAACAAATTTAGTCCACATACTTCCCAAGAATGTCACCATCTCTAAACAAGTAGTAGTCCTGTAAAGAAAAGAACCGTTAGCTTCTGTCATGTAAATCTTTTTCTTATTTCGTAAATACTGTCTTGTTCTGAGTCAGCATTATTGCAGTCATTAAGAACAAAACCAAAAGCTAACCAAGAAGTCAACATGTAGAGCTAGTCTTAAAAAAGTTCTTTTTGCTCCTAAGATAATCTTTGGAGAGCTATCAAGCTACTTCTAGCAGTGGGAAAGCACAAGAACTGTTAGAATACAATTCTGCAGGCTTTCCCTACCAAAAACAAGGATGCCCCCAGGAATTCCTAAGCCTTTTTGGATTCTCTCTAATATGTACCTGACATATGGAACATTTTGCCCACCCAGCAAAGGTCAGGTCAGAGGTTCTCATGGCTGCTTCCTTTTATGCAGGGGCAGAAGTAGCAGTAGCACAGCTACCAGAGGGTGGCTGGATCCAGCTGCTCCCTCCCTTGTGCTGTGCAAATGCTGTCTTCTTGTGTGAATGGTGTGAACACCATTAAGTAACCACAGTATTTATCACTGGCATTTCAGGAACCATTCTGATTTGCACTCACAAAGTTGGGAAACCTACCTTATCTTCCAGTATGATCTTAGTACCACCATATTCTGGGAGCAAAACCTTTTCACCAACTTTTACACTCACTGGCTGAATCTCGCCATTCTGGAAAAAGAAAAAAAAAATCCTTACTTTTCTGTAATAGAATACCTCCAAACTACCACAATCCATCTGTGTACATCAACATTCAGGAAATCACAACTCTGCACTTAGTTTTGACTGTTAATACAAGCCTGAGGTCTTTGCTTGACACACTGAATAGGACTTCACTTAAAGAACCATGAAACCCCCTTGTAAAATCAAGGGACAAAGTACATTTCCATATTCTATAACCAAGGATAATTTCTCCAAGTGCCAGTTAAGAAAGTACTTTCCCATTTCTGTAACTTTGATAACTTGTCACTGTTGCCATCAATTCACTTGTTTAGGAACACCTGATGAAATTTAATTAAATTTTCATATTATAAATAAAAAATTAACACATTAGTCAAATATTTTCACCCTTTCAGAATATAAACCATTAAAAATCAGATCCTGACACAAACCAGCCTGGGACGTATAGAGGGACTCACGATAAAGGAAGGCCAAGGCAATGTGCCCAAGTTGAAATTTAACCTGTTTTCCAGTGTTGCTACTGACTGAACACTGCTCTGGTGGGGAACCAGCTCTTCTGATGTGAGAGCCCCCAAGCACTGGCATTTTTGTGAACTCTTATTGCCATATACATATCCAATGTGCAAAATTAACAAACAGTTATTCAACAATTATTTCTTTTGATTGCTGACTTTTTTTAGTCCAAGAAGCCTAATCCTTACGGACAATGATATTTTGCACAGCACAAGGCAGCCAATACCACATTCTGGGGTTCCACCCTGCTCACAAGTCACAGACATTTGGGCACGTAATAATTTTAACAAAGAAGTCTACTGGTCCCTAAAGGTTTTGGCTGAGATGTGATGAAATATGGTATCACATAAAACACTGTCTACATATTTAAAATTAACCAACACCACCAACACCTCCCCAGAAAACTCCCCACCACCAAACAAGCAAACATACCCCACAAAAACCAATCAGCAAACAATATAAACTCCACTCCATTTCACAAATGATGAAAGGAATGCTGGAATTCATTTCAGGACAACTTGAGATTTCTACCTGATTTTAGAATCCCCACTTGCAATTTCAGCCATCACAGTCATCCATTACCACTTTTGCACTACAACCATCCCACTCTCACAGCAACATTCCAGCGACCACCACACCATTACTGGTTCTACCAAATGGAATGCTTCAGGGTAATTACCTTTCCTCTGCCTCCAGATCCAACTGCTACTACTGTTGCCTGTAGTACCTTCCCTTGGGATTTTTCTGGTATCATGATTCCTCCTTTGGTTACTGTCTCAGCCGCACATCGCTCAACCAGCACACGATCAAAGAGGGGAAGAAATTTCCTAAATGCTTTTCCTGCCTGTGGAGGTAATTGTACATTAGTAACAAGAGTGCCATTACAACAAAAACTGCAATTAAAAGGAGTTTTAAAAATCCAACACATAATGATTTCTCCTTTGAGAGAGATGAATAGTGTTAAGACAGCTGCTAAGCACTTCTTTAATAGCAGCAAACAAATACCAGCTTTGACTGCATCAGAAACTCCTGAAGGCACAGGCAGATGCTGGGCAATCCTGACAATTTGGCTGTAGGAAGATGTACTCCAGCTGGGGAATAAACCACCCTCGGACAGAGCAGACTCCTCTGCCTGGAAAGGCCTCTAGGCTTTTAACACCAAACCCTTAGTTGCTATAGCTTGGTGAAATAATTATTGATTATTTGAACTGCATTTCTCCAGTTCACAACCAGATCTAATGAAGATTAAGGACACCTTGGGAGAGCTGCATCTATACTTGTGAATTAAAACATTAAAGAATCACAAGTCTAGCCAGGTGCCTCATTGTCAGCCTTTCTCAGGTGCCTTCAAGCACCCTTTCACAAAATATAGGTGAGAATCTGCAGCCTGAGCCACAGTGCTGTTACTTATACCAACTTCTACAAAGAGATTCAGAAAAAATTAAAAGAAAGTTTAGGTCAAGACCCTGAAAATGAGATGCTAGGCACCCTTCTAGCTCAACTGCTTTGGTATCTGCTTCTGCTTAAGCAGAGTCAAGTTGAGGGGTTTTTATTAAGCTGTTGGGTTTTCCCCTCATATCTGGTTTGGTTTGGGGTTTTTTTACAACTACTTACTGCTACCTGTCTGCATTTCAGAACCGGCAGTCTAATTCCCATAGGCCAGATAAATGCGAGCAAATGCATTTATCCAAACGCACGGGGGTCAGGAAGAAGGAACTTGCTTTGATTTAGAAGGAAAGATATGGCAACTTGCCAAGTCACATGGAGCTAGTGCTCCACTAGACAGGTACACAGAGCCCACACTCAGAAAGAGCCAGAAGGGCCTGGCATCCGTGTGCCCTTTGCTGGCACTCACCGCTATCCACACACGCTTGAGAAGTGGCAGAAAGCAGAGTCACAGGCAGAGCGCGAACAAAAGGCAGCTCAGAGAAGATGTTGTATTTGACTGCTGTCAGCAGCACAGAGATGAAAGATACCCAAGGGAAAAGGCTGCCAGTTGTGTATATTTCATTCTGTTAAGATAATATCGCTGACCCTCTTTTTTAAGAGCTGTTTAACGTTTACCAGAAATTAAGCTGCCAGATTAATGATCGTGAACATTTTACACTAAGTTTTAATTCTTCACGCTATTATCATCATAAGAACCAACTATCACTGCAAGAACAAGGGCAACTCAGTCAAACTTTCCTTCTTCCCTATAAAAATTTCACTAAACGTATAGAACGAGAGCTCTGGAACTTGGCACGGGTTTCTATCTCCGCAGTGACCCGCCGTGGCCTGTGCGGCCCAGCCCTGCGGCGCTGCTCCCGTTACTGCGGCGGGGAGGAACCTGAGCTCGAGCGTCTGCGCAGCCAAAGGCAGCCCCAGCAAACCTCCCGCCACGTCCCGGCCGCAGCCCCCGCGCCTGCCGGGGGAGTCGCCTCTGCCCCACGGACTGCGTGACCTTGCGGCGCCGCCACCCCCGGCTCCTCCTTCCCCGCGCCTCCCCGCGCCCCAAAGCTGCCCGCGGGCCCGCGGGGACCGAGCACAGCCGTGCGCGGCCGCGGCTGCCCGGGGGCCCCGGCAGCGACACAACCGCGGGGAGGAGCAGGGGCGCCGCCGGGCCCCGAGGGCTGTCTGTCCCCGCGGCGCCGGACACGCGGGGCGGGGCAGCCCGGGGCCGCAGCAGCGATGGAGAGACGGCGCGGCGGGGCCCCGGCACTCACCATGCTGCTCCCGCGCCGCCCGCACCGAGTGACCGCGCCGCCGCCAGCACACACGTGAGGAAGGTCACGGCGGGCGCATGCGCGACCGGCACCCCGCCCCGGGGCGGAGCAGACCCGCCCCCCTCCCCCGGCCCCGGGGATGTTCAGAGCCGCCGGTTTTTTCCGACCTCTGCGGCCCCCTCCCAGTCCCGGGAACGGCTGCGCCCCGGCGGCACCGCGGGCCCGCCGCGCAGCTCCTGCGGCGCCCCAGGCCGGGCTCCGCACGGAAGTGAGGTCAGCTCACCTCTGACCCGCGGCGGCCATGAGCGTTCCAGAAGGTTCTGGAATCAGCGGGCCCGAGAACATGAATAGTTCATGCTACGATCCATTAGCGCATGCGCAATTTTAGCCCGCGGCCCAGCGCGGCATGCGGGCTGTGGGCGGGCGCGGAGGCCATGCTGGTTCCGGGGCCGGGCGGCCGGAGCCGCACATGGGCCGGCGGCGGCGCGGGGGCGGGGCCGAGGCGGTGAGTGCCGAGCGCCGCCCGCCGCCGCCGCGCCAGACGTGCCCCGCGAGTCCGCAGAGCCGCGGTGCTGCTCCCGCGCTGCCGCAGGTGAGCGGGAACGTGCCCGGCGCGCCGGGCCCGCGCTGCTCTGCCCGGCCTGGGAAGGGCACGGGGGTCCCGCTCCTTCGGCCGCGCTTCCCGCGGGGGCCGCGCGCCGGGAGCGGCCGGGCCCGGGCGGCGGGAGCGGGGGGCGGCCGCGATGCGGGCTTTGCGCTCGGGGGCCGGGAGCGGGCCCCGCACCTCCCGCGGGCCGGCGGTGGCGCGGCGGGCCGGGCGGGCGGCGGCGGGGGGCGGGCGGCGCTGACCTTGCTGCGCGTGTCCTGGTGCAGCGGCCATGTGCCCACGGGGCCCTGCCCGGCGCAGGGGCTCCTGCGGGCCCGGGGTGGCGGCCGCGGCCTTGTCGCTCTTCTCTCCGCCCTTGGTGGCGTAGCGGGCTGTGGGAGCCGTACCCGAGCTGCCGCTGCTGCAGCCGCGGGCGGGCGCGGCCCCCGCGCTGAGCACATGGAGCCGCGGGCGCTCCGCGCTGCCCTCGCCGCGTCCTGCCCCGCTCCGGGCGGGAGGGGCTCGGACGTGCTGGAGGCCGCGCGGGGAGGAGCTGCTGCCGCGCGGGGCTCGGCGTGAGCATCGGGGACACCCGGCCCGGTACTCGCAGTTACTTGTGTGTCGCGATTTCAGCCAGTCGAAAAATTAAAGATTCATCGTGCCTGCTTTACTTCCTGAATCTGTTCCCCCTCTTTTCCTGCAGAAGTAGCTGTGCAAAGCCATAATGCTTTTGGTTTTCTCTGCCTTTCTTTTAATATTTTAGACATGCTCCGTTTATCTACAGTACTCCGTCAGATAAGACCAGTGTCCAGATCCCTCGCCCCCCATCTAACACGAGCCTATGCAAAAGATGTGAAATTCGGAGCAGACGCGAGAGCTCTGATGCTGCAAGGAGTAGATCTTTTAGCAGATGCTGTAGCTGTCACCATGGGGCCAAAGGTAATGGAAAATTTGGCCTTTGTGTTAGCACAGACCTGGCTGAAAATACTGTAACAGAGAACAATTTTTGAGTTTTTCTCGGTGAAGCTGCACGATTGTGTTTGCAGACCTGCAGTGCCAAGGGGTAGGGGAATGGACAGGCTCCTGCAAGCAGCTGTAGTCTCATGTCCACCAAAAGTGGGGCAACAGTGCATGTGCTTTTTGAAGTAACAAAGTAAAATTCCTTGGAGTCTTGTGAAAGGTACATTATATTCGTCTAAACAGTTTAAAGGTTAAGGAGTTGTGCATAATGTGTTACCAGCTCAGTTGATAACCTGTAACAATGCAGTAGATAATGTAACTGTCTGTGTCCTGGGGTAGGTTAATCAGCACGTGGGTGTCTTGGTTGGATTTTTTTATCATGCTTGTTTTGTTTGTTTGTTTTTTAACAAATTAAAATTTTGTGTTGGTTTACCTTTTAAATATTAATAAGCTTTTAAAAATAGCCTACGTGTAATGTTGAGTTTTGAATTGGCTGGTGAGTATTACCAGCCTAAGTGAAATTTCACAGTAGTGCATTTATTACCCTATATTACCATTACCCTATTTTCTGTCCTGTAAAGGAGATCTGGGTCTCTTGGAAAACCAGCTGTGGTATTCTGCATAGTCATGCAATGTGCAGTAGGGCTTGAAATGAGATTCTTCTTTTTGAGGAAGAGACATGGATTTTCTAGGGGGTTATGTGAATATCTGTTCCGTGTAATAGCATGTGCATGGTAATTCTTCTGAGGGCTGCTTGGCCCCTGTAACATTATTTCATGTATTTTCTGCCCATTTTTAGTGCTATACCAGTTTCATTCAAAGGCAAAAATGCCATAAAGCTGAGCAGATGAAGGTTAAGGATCAATTATGTCAGGAAGCCGTGACTGTTTCCATAAAGGAACAAAGTTTAAGCGTAGTTGGTTAATTTAACTCTTGTTTTTTTGGATCAGGCTACTTTATGAATGCTGAAGCATAGTTCTAATCCACTGGCTAAAGGGCAGCTGCTGATGCAACTTAGTGTAACCTGTGGGGATTTTTGTTCGTTATGCTGTTCTTCATGTATTGTAAAAATGGAGGGGTTGTGCTGCAGTGCCTTGAGTCTGCTTCTGGCATTTTTAAGAAACATCACTCTGGTGAGGAAACCTCCTTTGGCACTGCTCTACATTTTAATGAGCCCAGTTTGCAGTCTCACAGAATCTTTTGGTGGTGCTCCAGTATGTTGAACAGAACTGGTTTGTGTGGGAGCCAGACCATTCTAAATGCCTGTGCACTTACTGGTGGTGTTTGTTCCCTTCTTCAGGAACACAGACAGGTGTTTTTGCTGCTAAAAGAGCAAGCCCTTTCATGTGATTTGTTATCTAGGTTTTGTTATGCGCCTCTTCTCAGAGCTGCAAACCAACCATTAAGAATAAGACTATATCAAATACAAAACAGAATTAAGCAAACCAGGAGATGTTATATGAAAAATTTACTTACTGGTAGCATGCTCCTCCACAGAGGAGTTTTCTTATACTTGAATCACATTTATATTTAGAAGGGCAGGTCAAATAAGATAATAGTGCATTGTTTTATCATAACTATTCCATGGCACAGAGGTAAATTTCCTTAAGTTCTTCCCCTGGTTCAGCCTGAGTAACTGAAGCAGAAGCTTTCCTTGTAGCTGCTGGGGTGCTGTGCTTCAGGAGCAGTGAGGCCTCATGCCTGGCAGGCAGCCAGAGCTGGGTCAGTTTTGAGGCAGATGTGTGTGGGCTCTGAGCAGGGGAGGGGCACAGGGCACACAGCGCTGGGTGCTGCACGGGAATCCTTGCCTGGCTCGGGATCCCCACCCTGGGCTCGGAGAGCTCTGGCAGGAGCCGGTGGGGTCAGCTCCGAGCAGGACCTGACAGACCAAGTGAGGGGACTTGTGCAGGGCTGGCTGGGAGGGACAGTGCTGAGCTGGGGCTCTCCCCTCCCTCTTCCAGAGCTCCAGCTGTCAGGATAGCAGAGGAGTTTCAGAGCAGCAGTAAACCAGTGGTGGCTCCTTGAGTTTCCGCTGCCTGCAGCTCAGACTGGAACATGACTGGGACAGCTGTTGGTTCCCGTGTTAGCTCTGCCTATTAGATACAATGCTCTGACTTTTTAGTTGGATTCAGGTGAGACCTAAGAAGAGACAAGCTTGGTAACTTGCAGTGTTTGAGAAATTACTGTAACACATAAACAGACATTTGAAGTATTCTTAGTTGTCTGTGCTAATCACTCTTAAGGTTTGCAAGTCTGCTTTTTTTTTTCCTTCCAGAATGTGCAACAAATTGAGCTTTGTATTACTTGTTTTTCAATCACAAAGAATGTTTATTGTGATGTGATTAAAAATTTGAAAATTTGGTTGTTTGATTTGCTGTGTCTTTAATTAAATATTAGCATAGGGGTAAAATATTAGCATTAGAGAGAATCTCTTCAGTTTTTTCTCTACAGTCAGTGTTACTTAATAGCAGTTATTAAGCCTTACAGCTGAAGAATGGGTATTAAAGTATGTGTTTGAGAAGTCCCAGCTGAATGTCCCTTGTAATCTTTGACTGTTTAAAATTTTCAGTTGAGCTCTTGAGAGTAACATGCTTTGGGTTGGCTTGGATTTAAAATTTGGTTTTTGTCCCCCTAGGGAAGAACAGTTATTATTGAACAAAGCTGGGGAAGTCCCAAAGTGACAAAAGATGGTGTGACAGTAGCAAAGGCAATTGACTTGAAAGACAAATACAAAAATATAGGAGCCAAGTTAGTTCAAGATGTTGCCAACAATACCAATGAAGAAGCAGGAGACGGTACCACTACTGCAACAGTCCTTGCACGAGCTATTGCCAAGGAAGGCTTTGAGAAGATCAGCAAAGGAGCCAATCCAGTAGAAATCAGGAGGGGTAACTTTTTTCTGTTGTTTTTAATATTTGATTGCTGTATTTTGTTTTTCATATCCTAAATTTGACTTGTTTTCTGTTTGAAGAGTCACCATAAAGGGTTATTTGATGTTTAGAGAATACAATTGGGTTTTTTATACTGTGGACTCTGAACAATCATTAATTTGTTTAAATCATTGTACTATTTTACATGCAGTCAACTTGATTGATTTGTTGTTAGTGAACTCCAGTTAAAGCCATTTCTGCGTAATAGCCATGTAAACAAATCTGTTACAAATTTCAATCATGACAGTATCTCACATCAATTTCAAAAACCCATCACTGCATACACAAATGACAGTATGGAACAACAACTGTTTGGCTTTGAACATGCAAACAATCATTTTTGCAGTGTGGACTTCAGTTTGAAAGGAAACCTGTTTGTTTTGGTGGGTGGGTGCTTGGTTTGTGTTTTCTGTGCTTTGCTGTGTTCGCTCACAAGTGCCCTGTTCGTCCTCAGGGGTGATGCTGGCAGTGGATGCCATCACAGCTGAACTGAAGAAACTGTCAAAACCTGTTACAACTCCCGAGGAAATTGCACAGGTAAGAAAAAAACACACAATAAAATGTAACCCAAATTTAGGCAGCTGTTTCTCAGAAGAAGTTTTGTGAAGTTAGTTGTGCATCTTGACACTGGGTACTTTTCTTTATTTGTCAGAAATAGTCTTCAGTTGAATTGCTAGAAGCTAGTTCAGAAGTGGGCAGATTTTTTCATCTTCAGGTTTCATTCTAAAGTATGGTTGTAAAACATGTATGTGTGTACTTGGGAAGAATTGATGGGAGCAAAGCTCTCTTGTGCATGGAAGTGATGGCAGAGTACTGAGGGTGTGGCAGATCTGCTGTGAGAAATCAGGTTCAGGTGTGTTGGTGGTCCTGGGTTGTTTGTCCCTGTGCCTGGAGATGGCCTGGGTGCGAGCCCAGTGCAGGGAATCTGGCTCTGTGCTGCAGTGCCCAAGGGCCTGAGCCCTTCTGAGCAAGTTCCTGGCTCCTGCTGTGAGTGTGCTGCACTCCGCTGCCCTGCCTTGTCAGAAATGTCAGTGTTGCACGTGGTTATTCTGATTTCTTTTTATCATGAGGAAACACCTTGCATTGGAAAATAAGATTAAATGTCTTATTCTTTTAGGTTGCCACAATATCAGCAAATGGAGATCAGGAAATTGGCAATATAATCTCTGATGCAATGAAAAAAGTTGGACGAAAGGGTGTGATCACTGTCAAGGTAAGAACTCACCAAGTGACTGTCTCTTCTGTTAGGGCTGGCTTTTGTCACATGTGATGCTGCTGCTGCAGCTCACATTCCATAATTCCTCCCCAGCTCCTTAGATCAGAGTTTGATCACTGTTCCCTCTTACATTCTTTCTGTTTTGGAGAGAAGCACATGAAACTGATGTGGGATCCAGAGTCTTTCAATCTGTTGTGCATGATATGCTAAAACTGTACTTGTGCTTTTGGTAGCAAACGGGAGATTTTTAATACAGACTTTCTTGCATCTAAACAGGATGGAAAAACTTTAAATGATGAACTGGAAATCATTGAGGGTATGAAATTTGACAGAGGCTACATCTCTCCATATTTTATTAACACAACTAAAGGTGAGTTTAACAATAAGTCATGTCAAACGCCTTCCAGTGGCTTGTGTCAGTCAAAAATAATGGCACCTGTTCAAGGCTTTACAGTCCCTTCTGCTGTGCGCCACAGCAAATAGATCAGGGGGTCCTTCCCCATCAGAAAACTTGAACTTGGTA